GCCATCAACCCTCTCTGGGCCTCAGCCTCCACATCTGTACAAATGGAAACGCTACTCCCCGCCCTGCCTACCTCACAGGGCTGTTGTGAGGAATTGATGAGATGATGTATGTGAAACACTTTGTAACCTGTAAAGCGCTGTGCACATGTGTGGGTGACTGTTCTCATTATGGTCATTATTATCTCACTGTGGGGGGGGCGGGGCTCCTAAGGGATCTCCATGGGGTCAGGGTGGGGGGCATGCCCGGGGTGGGCCACCTCCATGGACTTCCAGAGGCTTTGCCCAGGACAGCTGCCCAGCGGTGACCATAAGCTTTGCCTGGATAGCCGGGGCTTTAGACCCCCAGGGGAGTCCTAAGCCCATGAGCATCATCACTTCCACCCACTCTGGTGTTGGGTCTCCCTAGGCAGAAGCCGCTTGCAGCTGACCTGGACCTATCCAGGGACTGGGTACACCATCTCTTTCCAAGCCTTCTTTCCATAAGCATTTATCAAATGCCTGCTTATGCCACTTCCCGTGTAGAGCACCAAGTCTTTGAGGCTGGGAAATGCAGTTCTGGGGCTGTCCTGAGGACTGCCTGGACCCAAGTCACCACCCAAGTCTTGCCTCATCTTCCACCAGGCTTTACTCTGAGCTTACCCTGGGCTTTGAAGGGTTCCCAGTTTGGGATTGGGATCCACCTGCATGTGAGCTGACCAGGAGAGTCAGAAGCGCCCTGTTCATTCACACCAAACCGAGACACTCCAAATTCAATTTTAGAAAAGGCTGTTCTGGGAGACAGAAGTGCGAAGAGCCAGGCAGGTCACCTTGTAACTTTCCCAGAATCCACGGGCTCGAGAAGCTGAGGCAGTAGCTCCTCCTGCAGACCACGTACTCACCCCCCACCTCTGTTGGACAGGGAGGGGCCCTGGGTTCAGAGATTATTGCCTTCGCCTCTCCAAGTTTCCCCTTTCTCCTCAGGTACTCCTTGGATTGCGCCCCACAGTAGGCTCAGGGCGACCCTGCTGCCCATTAACCCTCGGACTAGAGGAGAATCCAGCGACGCAGGAACCCACAGGCACAGGCTTAGCTGAACTTGGGGGTGAGGGGAAGCAATAGACAAGTCAGCCTTTGGCAACAAGAAACTTCCAGAATGCAGCTCCTCCAGTCAGAGCTCCTCCTGGGGTTCACACCCCCCCCCCACCCAAGCTGGCATGAACTAGGTAGCAACATGCTTGGTGAAAGTGAAGGTGAAAGTTGCTCAGCTGTGTCTGACTCTTTACGACCCCATGGACTGGGGTCCACCAGGCTCCTCTGTCCATGGAATTCTCCAGGCAAGAATACTGGAGTGGGTAGCCATTCCCTTCTCCAGGGCATCTTCCCAACCCAGGGATTGAACCCAGGTCTCCTGCATTGCGGGCAGATTCTTTATGATCTGAGCCACCAGGGGAGCCCAACAGCATGCCTAGCAACTTCTAAACCAAGCTTCTGGTGGGATGACAGGGTGAGCAGAGTCTGGCATGGAGTCAACACTCAGTCACTCATTCATTCAATTTACAGACATTCCCAAGAGCCGGCTCTGCTCCAGGCTCCCAGCTGGTATGGTCTTTGTACACTTGTCCACATCTCCCAACCACCATCCCAGACTGTCCCTGGCTCTGGGGAAGCCTCAAGCCCTCTGAACTATGACTTTATCTCTGAGAAGAAATAGGATCCTCTCTCTCTCTAGGATCCTAGGATGTTGGTGCGGGGAAGGTGGCTGGTCCCTGGGAGACCTGGGGCAACCTAGACTAGCGATGATAAGACTCTGAGGTTTGAAGTCAGGTCTGAGTTTGAGGTCCTATTCTAGTACTTACTAGCTGTTTGGATTGTTTCTTAACCCCTCTGAGCTTCTTGGTCTTCTCATCTGTAGCATAAAGACAATCTTATGCAGGTCGTTAGGAGGTGAAATGAGGGAGCATAGATATATTTGTTGAGTGATGTAGTGCCTGTGCTGTGGTAGGTCGCTTCAGTCATGTCCAACTCTTTGGGACCCCATGGACTCTAGCTAGCCAAGCTCCTCTGTCCATGGGGATTCTCCAGGCAAGAATACCGGAGTGGGTTGCCATGCCCTCCTCCAGGGGATCTTCCCAACCTAGGGATCGAACCTGGGTCTCTTGCATCTCCTGCATTGGCACTAGCGCCACCTATGTAGTGCCTGGCACTCAGTAAAACCACTGCCAACAGTGAGGATGATCATTACTGTTGAGTCCAACTCTGCTGATGAGCCAGGACAAGAGAAGGTGGGAGCTTAGCCAAAGTCACACAACTTCTCAGTAACAGCACCAGCTTTGGAAGTTCTAGAGCCACAGACTTCTTAGCCTGACTCAGGGCTTCTCAGGACCAGGTCTGGGGACCCCCATCTGGCAGGAGACAACTTTGGGGAGCCCAAGGGGAGGGAGAGGAGTCGTTGAACATGGTGGGCAGCATGTATACAATAAGAGGCTAGTGGTCTCACATGAGGCTCAAGAACCCAGGAGCCCTATCCATCTCCAGAGAGACCAGAGCGCAGGCTCTCTGTCACCCCAAACCTGATGCACTGACAGACACTGTCTGCATGCAAAAGGCAGCCAGGGGATTGTTAGTTAACCCATCTGGGGTTCCAGGATCCCTGGGGCCTCACCAGGTTCTGGTAAGAGCAGGACCAATATCTTCTTGGCTATTGGGAAGGAACTGGACCCCTGAGGAAATTCAGGACATGGGAAAATTGTGAGGTTGTTTTCAGATGGGGGAGAGAGTCAGTTCAGGGGAATGTGAGCACCCTGGGCTGGGGGACTGGGTTGGCCCAAGCAAAAGAACCTGGGCACTGGGAAAAGTCCACGCTGGGAGCTCGGCAGCCTAGGTTTAGTTTGGCCCTTTACTAACCATGGGACCTTCACCTAAAGAAGACTGAACTCAACTGCTGAAAATCCTAAGATTTAAGGTGGAATAGCATGGAATGCCAGACTGGAGGGGCTACTTTCTCCACAACCTCACAGCCTCCAACAGAGAAAGAGTAGGAATGGATACCACTCACTGCATGGCCCCAGTCTGCCTCAGGCCCAGTGGGGTTGTGGGCTCAGAGTGTCCTTTCTCATCAGGCCCTATAGGATACTGGCTGCTCTGCTCACGTTTCACCCTGGGTCCAAGCTACTGGGGAAAAGGCAAGATACTGAATCCTGAGAGTTTAGCCTGCTTCCCAGAAGACCAAGGCCAGAGACAGCTTCCAGCAGGAGACAGCGTACTATAAAGAGAAGGGGTGATAAGACTGGGAGCCTCCCCTTGGACAAGCAAGTGGATTGGGCCAAGGATAGCATTGAGCAGGGGGAGTATTAGAGGGAGCAGCAAACGCTATGCCCCCCCCCAACCCCGACACCAGTGTACCCCTCAGAGATGGAAAATAACCTGCCCAGAACACACAGCAGAGTGGTGTTTGGGGCATGGACTTTGGACTCAGCAGATCTTGGTTCAAACACCATCTCAGGTGTGGCACCTGTGTGGTGTACAATAGGACCACTTTTATCAGCATGATATCGTTATGGACAGGCAGAGAAGTGGTGGTTGAACTACTGTGTGAGAAACATGATGGGGATCCCAAAGAGCTGGAACTCCAGTGGGGTTGGGGTAGAAACCAAACCTGGTCATATCCTCTGATTTGCCACTGGAGGCTTAGGGGTCCATGTGGGGAGGGTGGTAGCAGACTCTAACCTCTCACCCCTGGCTGCCCAGGATAGAAAAAGAGTGGCCAGAGGAGCAGTATAGACCCTGGGCAGCTATTAAAGAGTCCCAGGGGACCTTGAGCCTTGAACTCAGGACCTGAAGTCATGGGTCGTGAGGTCCCAGGAGCAAGGTCAGAGCAGACCAACTGGAGTGAAGTGATTTATTGGGGCCTTCACAGAACCTGCTTCCACGGTCGGTCAGCTTTCCTGCAGCTCTCCCCTATTAGATGTCCTCTGATGACATGATAGCCTGCACAGGGTTGAAAGTCATCCTCAGCTCCCATTCCAAAATCCAGCTTCAGCAGCTTTCATAATCTTCCTTGCTAGGTAGGATCTCCGATCTCTTCATTCATAGCCTCCAGAGGAAAAAAATCTGATTGGTCACCGGCCAGCCAATGTATCAGCTGCCTCTGAGTCAGGTGCTCATCTCCTGTCCAATCAACTGATGCCAGGGAGCTCCACCTCATCCAGACCCAGTCTGGGTAAAGACGGTACAGAAAGCCTAAAGGACTGTATCAGTTATCTGTTGTTGCTCTCCAAAACTAAGCAACCATTCATTTGTTCTCAGCTTCCTAAGCTGGGCAGGTTTGGTCAGGACCGCTCATCTCTGCTCTGCCTGGTGTTAGTTAAGAAACCCCGACTGGGGCTGAAAGGTCCAGGGTGGTTTCTGACCATGTCTGTTGTCTCAGCTGGGGAGGCTAGGAGGACCGGAGGCTGGCAGGCTTCTCTCTTTCCACATGGTCTCTCCAGTAGGCTAGCCGGACTTGCTTATGGTAGCTCAGCGCTCCAGGAGGGCTAAATGGAAGATGCCAGGTCTCTTGAGGCCTAGGCCAGAAGTCCCACAGCTTCAAGTTTACTGCATTCCATTGGTTAAGGCAAGGCCCACCTAGATTGAGGGGTGGGAGGTTAGACCCAGCTCTGGGTGGGAGGTGCTGCAAAGTCACATGGTGAAAGGGCATGCTGGATGCAAGTGTCGATGTAGCCACTGATGGAAGTCATCCTCCCCAGGAACCTCCATGGAAAAAGGTGCCTTTTCCCTTTCAGGAACCACTCACTGGTGCACAGATCTCTCTACAAGTTTACCCAGGAGCAGGGGACTTAGGGGGCTTCCCTGGTAGCTCAGCAGTGAAGAATTTGCCTGCAAGGCAGGAGACAGGAGACGCTAGATCGCTGGATCACTGGATCAGGAAGATCTCCTGGAGGAGGGCATGGCAACCCACTCTGGTGTCCATGGAGAATCCCTGACAGAGGAGCCTGGTGTGCTACAGTCCATAGGATCACAAAGAGTCAGATACGACTGAAGCAACTGAGCACGGGGGGCTTAAGTGATGGCTACAGACCTATAGATGGATCTACAGCTGGTAAGTAAGAGCCAGGACTTGAGCCTAAGTTTGCTGCCCCTGGTGCATTGTCCTTTCAAACAGAAGCAGGTGGCGGGAACACCAGGGGTAATACAGCAATCATAGTAAGAGCTGTTGTTTCTCAAGGCCTGTGCCAGGCACCAGGTCAGACACTTTACCCACATTTCTTATTTTATCCTTTCACAAGGATGTTCCCATATGCTGCCTTTTGGATGAGAATGCTGAGTCTCAAGGAGGACAAGTGGTCCTGGGGTTTCCCACCAGGTAGGTGACAAAGCCAGGATTCATACTCAGGGCACAAGTACTTCATGGCAAAAGAAAGCACCAAACTGGTCTCTACTTTGAGCCACTCTAGACTCAAGCTTCTCATCTGTGAAGTGGGTACAGTCCCATCGCCTCCTCCAGCCCCTTTCCTTTGTGGGATGGGAATGATTTGGTGAGGGAGAGTGTGTCTTGGCATAGGTGGGTGAGTACATGGGTGGGGGTCACGATCAAAGCTTCTGCTGATCAGTTCTCCCTCCTGGCTCCCAGTCGACCAGACATCTCTGTGGGCTCCTGAGATCAGAGCATGATACACAGGGCCCGGCAGCCTGTTCTAAGGACCCAGCAATTTGGCCCTGGTACCTGCCTGCAACTGCGGACTGACTACACGGCAGCGGCCTGAGATCAGTGGCCATGTATCTAAGCCCTGGCTCTGACTGCCTCAGGGAACTGATTGCTTAGCCTGTAAAGGGATTTACAGCCTCCTCATAAACCTATTATGGCTCATTCTACACTCCAGCCCAGGCCAGGTGAGTTCTGGGCCTGGGAAGGCTAGATTGTGGACTTGAGGCCACGGAGACTGAGGGATGCCCCAGGGTCTCAGCCCCAGCCCCCTCCTGTCCCAGTTCCTTCACACCCCAACCCCCGTGCCAAGTCATGCCCTGGATGTGACCCCAGCAGGAGCAGAGCATGGCTGTCCCTGTATCTCCTACCAGCTCCACCCTGTCCCTACCCCCTCACTCCCAGTCAAACTGCCATGGAGACAGCCAGTTCTGGCGACGGAGTGACAGGATGCCCTGGGGGAACAGAGGAGGGGAAAGAAGCTGAGATAAAGCTGGAAGCAGAGGAAAGAGAAAGCCAGGCAGGCAAGAGGACTGCCGACGCTCTCAGTGGTCCTCCACTCCCAGGGTCCAGAGCTGAGCCCAGAGCAGTGATCAGCATGACTGTCTCCCTGTTTGATGATGAGAAACACAAGTCTCAGAGAGGCTTAGCCATTGTGTAGAGTTGCACAGCTAAGACACCTTGTGGCACCTCACAAGCCTCAGTGTGTGCTCCCATTTTGCAGATGAGCAAACTGAGGTTCGGAGATGGGGAGTGACAGGTCCGAGGTCACAAAATGAGTCAGTAGTAGCACCAGCTCTGACTCAGCTGAACTGGGGGGTGAGAACCACTGTGGCATCCAGAAAGCTTTCCCACGGGAAGCACAAGGTCAGGCCAGCCCCAGGGGGCACCCAGCCCCAGAGGAGGGGGGGCAGCTGGAGGCCCTAACTGTGCTCTCCAACCAGCAGAGATTTACATAGCTCATTAAAAAATACAGCGTCATAAAGAGGAGAGACACAGGCACAGTAAACCTTCATCCCTTCCATTGCCTGCCAGCTCTGGAGCCTCTTTCAGGTCACGCCAAGGGCGCAGGGAGCAGTCCCAGCTGGAAGGGGTGTGCAGCTGCCCTGGGCAGCATGGAGCCAGGTCAGAGTGAGGCTTTCTGTGTGTCTGTCTGCTGGGCTCTGTCCAGTGCCCAGCACCGGGAGGGGAAGACACTGCTTGGTGTGACCTTGCAGCAGGCCCTGGGCCGACCCTCCCAAGTGCCTGAGAGAGAACAATGCCAGCTTGGTCTCCCCACTCCTTTCCAGCTTCAGGGTTCCCCCCCAGAACTCAGCAGTGTCCCCTGTCTACTTCCCTGCCCCCACACTGCTGCTGAGGCGAAGCAGAGTTACAGCCCTCTAGCACAACGACATTTACTGCCGAGCCCTGCGCCTGGGCCCATAAATCCCCCTGGCCATGCGCCATACCGACTGCGCAGTCACCTGGAACAGAGGCCCACGGGGCCTGCCGGCCCCTCCACTTGCCCCAACGCTGGCCACCTCAGGCCCACTTACCCAGTCCCCCAGCCTTCCTCAGGTGCCTCTCAGCCTGGAGCTGGGACAGCCAAAGCCCATCAGAGCACCCATTCCCCACACATACTCCGGAGATCACCTTACGTCCTCCTTGGGGAGGCTGCCCGTCTCTTGCCACTTGGGGTGCACCCCTGTCCCTCTGTGTCACCTTCCTCTCTCTGCACAGCTAGGGTTGGACCAGATGGACTCCCAGAGCTCGTCTAGGCAGGACAGCCCAGGAGGAGTGGGACAAGCCCCTCTGCCGGAGAGTCCAGGTGGACCATAGAAGTAGGACTGATGGAAGTCTCTGCCACCTGAAGTGCTGGGCAGGGCTGCCTGGTTGGCCACTGGCTGGCACCTGGCTGGCTAGGAGCCAGGAGAACAGCTGTTTCCTTTGTCCTGCGGGGCAGCTGGAAGGGACAGGGACATGGCAAGCTTGATGGGCTCCTGCAGTTGCCCAGAGGTAGAAAGGACTGCTGGAAGGGTGGGCTAGATGGGAGGTTGTTCTGAGGTGAGGCAGAGGGTTAAAGAGGCCATGATGGGCTCCCAGGTCCTGGCTGACCCCCAGACCTCCTCCCCAAAAAAGGAAGTTTCCCAAACACACTGGCAGGCAGGGGAGGATGGGGTGGGGAGGTGGCTGAAGGAATAACACCTGTAAACACCCCACAGTTGTGGAGTCCGGAGTCCCACAGGCAGTGGGGACGTAAGGGAAGGTTACCATTCCTGTAAAGAGAGCAAACAGGGGAGAGAAAAGGTAAGTCCCAGTTTTTAGAGGGTCCCAAGGCCCTCAGCTCCAGGCCCCCTGGCTTAGTTTTAGGAAAACCTGCTTTGAACACTTCACACCTGCCCTTCCTTGAAGCCTTCCCTGCACCAGGGGCAGAACCCCCGATCCTGGTGACTCTCCGTGTCCCTGGGGGAGGGAGAGTAGACTTGAGTGTGAAGGGTTGGGGAAGCTGGGGTGGGTGTTCTGTAGGGTGCCATGGGGCAATAGAGAGCTATGGTGGGTGCTTGAGCATGAGAGTGACATGACACGTCTCAGTCTATGGAGGAAAGATTTGAGGTGTGGGAGGTGCACACTTCTCCGCTACACACGTGCACACACATACACGCACTCCAGTGGGCACACGTGCACACAGCAGAACTCACACTTATACAAACCCATACACTCTCCTACACAGACAAGCAGCAATTAATGTGTCCACACACAAGCCTTCCTCCTGAAGCGAGCAAGTACCCTCAGTGTACATTCTGGTACAGATAATAGCTGTTCACACTGGTATACCACACTGGCTCCTCTCACCTGAGCACTCACACGAAAGCACAGATCTACAGGACAGCCCCCTCCCGCAGGTCACAGGTGCACCCTGGCTGAGCCTCCACCAACCAAGCTCTGACCATCTGGGTCCTCCCAAGGGTCCACACCCCCCTCCCGCCGCTTCCCTCCTTCCTGGGATCACAGGGCGCCCAGATCCGCTCGGTGCTCAAGGCTCCCGCACCCTGCCCACACACGTGAGCCCGCGCACGCACGTGCACGTGCGGAAAACAGCCCAGAGCCTCGCTCCCACCCTCGGAGCCGGGGCCGGCCAATGAGAGCGCACCGGGAGCTGTCTCCTAGGCGACCAACTTAGGACTGGGAGGGGCCGGCCTCGAGGAGCTTGGCCGAGGGACCCTCCCTTTATCCCCACGCCCCACTTCGGACCCTTGTGCCCGGGCCCTCTTCGTTACAGGGTTAGAAGGCACGACTAGGCTGAGGCCAGGAATGATAGGGGTTCCTCAGAGGCACCCAGATACTGAGCCCAAGATAAATCGCAGTGGTGCTCGTCCACCTGGATGCAAACGGCAGGCCAGCATCCTGGCCAGAAGTGCCTTGTGGGACTTAGCCCGGGAGGTTTGTGAAGGGACCTGGCTCAAAGACTCTGGGGGAGATTTTAGGACCCAGTATAGTTTCCTGGCTCCAGAGGGTTCCCAAGAGCTTGCATTGACCTCCTTTTCCTGAAATGCCCAAGTTCCTTCCCCTCCAGACCTCCCCAAATGTTCTTCCCTCTGCTTAAGAAGCTCCCTATCCCCCAACCCTTCCCCTATCGTGTATGCACGCGCGCGCGCGCGCGCACACACACACACACACACACACACACACACACACGCTCACTTTTTTTTTCTTGGCAACCTTTGGCTCCTGGTATAGGTCACTTCCCCAAACAGTGCTTTCCTCATCACCATTGCTGAATTCCCAATTCTGAATCAATCCCCTGGCCTAGGGCCTGCCAGCCCTGGGATTAGGCAAAATCATACCTTGAATATTTGAATCACATTGAAACACAAAGTATTCCAAGAGGTGAAGGCTGGTCACAGTGGCAAGTGTAGGATGTCAAGAGTGTGAGATCTGGAGCCAGACGACCTGGGTCTAAATCTTGGCTCTGCCACATACCAGCTGTGTGCCTTTGGGCAGGTTGCCCATGTAACTTGTGAGGATTAAATTAGATCATGCCTGCAAAGCACTTCAAATGGTGTCTGGCACGGAGCAACTGACCAATCAGTGTTTGCTTCTACTGTTATTATTCTTATGGACTCCCTGTTATATATATTGGCACCTTCTCAGTTCAGCTTCCAGCCCCCAGCCTTCATTCAGGACATTCAGAACAAGCATGGGGCTGTGGACCAGGAGACTCACAGGTGGTGAGCTATGCAGGGCTTGTCCCTGACACGCAGCCAGATCCATTCCAATACCGGGTTCCCTGCCCAAGATGGAGACTTGTTTCATCAGGATAGAAATTAAGAGCCCATGGTGACAACCAATCATAGCTCCAATACCGGGTGCCCTGCCCAAGCGGGAGACTTGTTCCATCAGGGTAGAAATTAAGAGCCCATGGTGACAACCAATCATAGCTCCAATACCGGGTGCCCTGCCCAAGCGGGAGACTTGTTCCATCAGGGTAGAAATTAAGAGCCCATGGCGACAACCAATCATAGTTGTCTTTCCATATTGCAAAGACAAGCTCAACTCTCTGCCTCTTTCTCTATGTTTAGCAACATTAAAAACAAGGATAGGTACTTTCCTGGTGGTCCAGTGATCAAGACTTCACCTTCCAATGCAGAGGTTGTGGGTTTGATCCCTAGTTGGGGATCTTAGGTATCACATGGAGCCAAAAAGCCAAAAAGCATTAAGAAACAGAAGCAATACTGTAACAAATTCAATAAAGACTTTAAAAATGGTCCATATTAAAAAAAAAAAGCACATTTTCTAATGGGCCTTGTAGTGAGGTTCTGCAGGGCTTTCACCTTCTCCAGCTTGTGACCCACCTCCTGCTCACCCTGGGTTGGGCCTGTGGTTCTCAGCCTTGGAGAGAGCTGCCAAGAGAGCTGCTCATTCCACCTGCTGGGAGGGGTGGTTCCCCATCAGGGAGGTCTCTGTCAAAGGAAAGGGCTTCACTCAGGACCCCACCATCACTTTTATATCTTGTCGCCAAAATCTTGGCTCTC